TCAATCCGTTTGCATATCTTCTCGCCGAAGCCCTTCAGTTGTTTGCACTCGTGTCCAGTGGCCAAAGGGTCCGGATGTTCACGAAGTGACCGCAAAGCCTATCCATCAATGCATAACACGACAAATATAATCATTTTGTGGTCATCAATGGATCAGCTCTTAAACAGACCTTATTGTAGACGAACTCCATCTTCGAGCCGACCTCTCGAGCATTGTTTCGCCATTCAGTCAACCATTTGGTGAACAATTGGTTTGGATTTGATTTGCCGTTCATTTCAATGCCTTTTAAATCACTTCAAAAACACAACACTTTTCACAAGTTTTCAAATCAAATGACTTTTAAATTTAAAAACCGTTTATTCGTTGCAGTCGTTCACAAACAACGTCTCCATTCAGTCACTGATTCTTGAATTGATTCTGGAGTACAGAATAGAGTCAAGAATATTGAGTTTAATTACAAATATTTAAATTGAACTTAATTTGAGTATATACTATATTGTACAATATTATTGTAGTCAATTTGAATTTTGGTTATAATTTACATTTATCTTATTTTGCGATTTTTAATATTAAATCAAATGTTTGCCAAACTTTTAACAGATTTCATAACAATTTTAATCTTATTTAATATGACTTTCATTCGTTTAAATTGTAGTCATGTAAATGTAAGTCAACAGAATTCATTCAAATTTGAGTTTTGATATTTAAATTGTGTTATAATTTATTGACAATTAAAGACAGACAGTGACCCCTTGGATATGCCTTCTTATGATGAATATAATGTGTATTATAGAGAAGTGGAGACAAGACGTCAATTAAATGACAAATATGTGACCGAAGAGACACCAGAAATCACTTTATGGGAAGTGTTGAAACCGTTTATAATTACCTTTTGGGTGACCTTGGTGGTCATTGGTCTCTGCATTTTTAGTCTTTGTGTGATTTGTTTGATCCAAACGTGTGATTGCAGTGCCCTTAGTAATACATTAGTCTTAACACATATTCTTGTTTACCGTATATTAACAGAATATGTCTTAAATAGTTGAACTCATGGAGAACCTTCCCTGTCATGGATATCGTATTCTTTATAAACGATTAAAAAGACTAAAACATCCTGGGATCTATGTCAAAGCTGATGGTACTTTAAAGCACTATAAGCCTATAGCCAATGAAACAAAAATGTATAAAGGTATAAAAGCCCGACTGGAAGCAGACCTCACCTGAATTGACCAAAATCTCACCTAATTTTTCAGTTATTACTAAAATACTATTGAATTTTAAGTTTAAATAAAGTTTTAAATTTAGTAACTGTGAAATTGATATTTTAATTTTGGTGTTAATTTTTAATGTTTGAATAAATTGAGAAATTTGTTGACAGATTTGGCGAATGAATTTGAAACACTTCTAAAGAAACTCTTTGCATTCGGATCGTTAGATTCGTTGTAATTGTTGCAGTTTTTGTGGTCACACTCCGGAATTTCGTTGATATCATTGGAATCTTCAAGTCTTGCAGTCTTGCACTTCAACCACCACTTAGTAACATCTCTAGGGAAGGGAGGATTTGCCCGATCAACCTATCAGTACATTAAATAGTGATAAAATGGGTATTTTAATGATTAAATTAATTCACTATAAACTCACAGAACTTGAAATATCATTAAATCTATAGTATTGCGATCCTTTAAAGAAATAAGTTTTGCCAGTTTTTGGCCAAAACATAGCGGCGTCCACTTTGTCGGGCAGACCTTTCCACGATTGTATCGATTTGGGGTACCGTCTGTTTATGGGGTAACTCACTCTTTCCGGTTCATACCTCCAATACTCGTCGCCTTTCATTATATAAATATTTAATATTTTATATTCTATTTAATATTCAGGTAATACTGAACAGTAATTTCAGACAAACATGTTTTGTAGATTCAAGTTTTTAAAATGTTAAACTAGTTTTTGATATCTACAACAGAGTGTGCCATCACATTTTCTAATCACGGAATTATTGGTACAATATTACACAAAATTGTAAAGTGATTGAAGTATACCTCTAAAGAAGTATATCTTTCCATTGAATCCCCAACGAGTGGCCGCATCTAAATAAGGGGTCTCTAAACCACGAATCAAGTTCTCAATGGTATCGTCAACTCTGACCGCCTTCTTCATCGGTTCATTAAAAACCCAAACTTTGTTTTTCTTGAAGATATAGGTGCGACCGCTGTTCTGGTCGGTCACCACTGAATCCACTTTACCTTTGATCCCGGGAAATATATCTGAAATCATTTTAGGATAACCCGGATATATTCCGGTGTCGTCACTAATTCTCCAGATATAGTCATCCCTGAAGAAGAAGCACTCATCCAAAGCATTACAATCCGCGGCATCTATTCTGAAGTCAGAGCACAGATCTGGTGCCACAGACTTGACATTTGGTTTCTGTCTTTCATTTGTGTCCAAAAATGTGGTGTCTTTTTGTTGTCTCTTTCCGTAAAGCATTTCAATGCCATTGATGTCATCCTTTTTCAGTTGAGTCCGTTTGCCGGCATATGTCGGATACATCAGAGAGTCTTTATTATCCGAATGACCCAAACCTAATGCGTGACCAAACTCGTGGACGGCAACACTTAAGAGGTCGACACCAGGTCTGCCACTAATAGTCCACTGCTCGTGATCATCGAAATGAGTGGTTCCACCGAACTGTGGGAAGAATGCATGCGCTAATGTCTTTCCCGGACCATCAAATGGATTGCCATCCCTGTGGTCCTTCACTTTAAACCCGATCTCAATCATAGCCTTTTTATCCCCCTTTTCGTGAACAAAAGTGAGTCCACTATTCTTACTCCACTCCTATATTTGAGAATTTAGTTCACAGATAAGTCATCATTGTTTGCCAAAGTTTCTCAACACTTTATTCACATGTAATGCATATTCCATGAGTCTGTCGACCTCCCGATCCTTTCCCCGAAGTTGATCTCTTGTTGAATATTGAGTCACTTTCCACGTGAGGTTCTTTTTGGGCCAAACACTTCCCTGTAATGTATACCTACGGTGACGTCTATTTGAGTTCATATTATAGTGACGGTTAGTCCGGAGGGAAAGGTTGTCTGCGACCCCACATCGGGGCTCATTCATCATATCCATCGTCTTCTTATCCAAAGTTCCCGTTTCTTCGATTCCCATAAATCTCTGGAAATCCGTTACAACTGATTTCATTTGAGGCGAAGTCATACTCATATTTTTGGGCATTTTATCCATATATCCAAATTGATTCAGATATTTCTAATAATAAACAGAATAATTAACACAAAACCTATAGATTCAAGGAAAATAAATTTAAAACTCAAACCATTGCGTCAATGGTTGAGATGACATATTTTGGAAAAGACATCCCATGAGAGATGATTTGATTAATTTCATTCTTATAATAATATGCTTCACATACAATAATCAAGGTGTAACTTAGCAATAATTTCATTATTTTAAAATCCATTTTGTGACATATTTTGGAAAAGACATCCCATGAGAGATGATTTGATTAATTTCATTCTTATAATAATATGCTTCACATACAATAATCAAGGTGTAACTTAGCAATAATTTCATTATTTTAAAATCCATTTTGACACTAAAATTAATTCTTATAAACTACTTGTAGTAATAAATGAAAACGTTTTTCAAAAGTATAAAACGGATGGATTTTGTCGAGGAAAACGACATCCGCTGCCAACCATTTCGCGTTAAAACACAATTAAAGGTCATCTTATGTTTTACTCATAATATGCCAACGATTCTGGTGTCAAGAATTAGTTTTATTCAATTCATTAATAAATGAATGAATGAAATGCTTTATTATTAAATTAGAAATAACAATGGAATGAACATAAAAATGTTTTTTGTTTAGACCTAAAAATTATTTACAAGTATTATACAAATCAATGTACAATTTAGGCACTAGAATATTAACAGCAATCGATTAAATAACTAATCAATCGGTGTTATCCATCAATTCAAATAAATATAAATTAATCCCTAATTAAATGAAAATTTAAAAGTATATCCATTGCCTTGACTGCCAAATGGATTGAATCCAGGTCCGAATGGGTGAAACCCTCCATGAGACTGAGCCTCGGCGTCGAGCGGGTCCTCTCCGTTGTCGAACTTTTGTCTCTTTTCGGGATCCGTCAGCACCTCTTTGGCGGCCGCAATATCAATGAACTTCTTTTCGGCGGCCTTTTTCTCGTCGCCCTGGAATAAGTCCGGGTGCCATTGCATCGCCAGTTTCCGGTATGCCTTCGAGATCTCCTTCTTATTGGCATTACGAGGAACTCCTAATATCTTATAATAATCTCGTTTTTTGCTCTGTTTTTCCAACTTTTGAGTTCTCTTTATTCCCTCTTCAGCTCTG